GCGCCCGGCGGGCGGGGAAGACTTGGGGCGGGGCGCGCACGCGAGCCTGAGTGAGCAGGGTCGCGTCCCCGCCGGCCCTGCCGTCCCGGGGGGCCCTCTGCGTGCCCGCAGGGGTCTAGTGAGTTAGAGTCAGCGACGGTCAGCATGTTTATTGAGCCAGGGTGAGATGGGATACAGCAGCATGTATTAAAAGCTGAAATGATTCTTGTTTTATACGCACATATGATTCACTCGATGAATATTTTTCAGGGCGTTTCATGCGACACTCCAGGATGGGGGCTGCAGGGACGCACAGAACTGACGCCCTAGCTCCGTGGAGCCTCTGTGAATAAGACAAGTCAGCGCTAAAAATACAGTGGACAACCCGGAGGGACATAAGCCAGGGATCTGCAATCCAGGGGGGTCCAGAGTGGTCCCAGAGACCCCCCTGGAGGAGGTGACCGGGCAGAGGAAGTTGTTCTGGTCTCTTCCAGCTGATATCAGGGATTCCTCCCTGTAGGTGGGCGACCCTGGGGGAAATGCAAGCTGAGGGCAGTCCTGTCTCTCTGTCCTTGTCCCCAGCCATGGAAACAGGCCATCCCGGAGCCTCTGTGTGCTCCACACCAGGCAGGACGGGCTACAAGAACTTGTTCAGAGTTGTTAGGAACGTCAACGAACAGGAGAGCAGTAAACCAAGCGTGGGGCCTGAGCTTGGGGCCCTGGAAGCTGGCCCTGGCACCAACATCCCCCACTGGTGGGTCACACCTTGGTGCAGAGGCCGACTCTGGGCACCTCAGATCCTCTGCTGTCCCAGCACAGCTGTGGTGACAGCTCCAAGTGAGGTCACTCCTGACCCTGACCCTACGGCCTCCTCTGGGACAGTGGGATACAGGTGGGGCCTGGGGGGCTGGGAGTGGCACCTGGTGGGCTGGGGGGCGGGGCGAGTCGTGTTCCCTAGTCTTTCAGGATTTCACCCGCCACCTAGGGTGCTTGACTCCAGGCCCAGACAGACTGTCTCAAGTCCCTGGACCCTGACCTCGCCTGCCTTCCCTCAAGCCTCTCTGCTCTAGGCCCCTTAAGCTGGGAGGGGAGCCCTAAATTTTCAGCAGGTCTCCCCGAAACACACACTTCTCCGTCCCAACTAATTCCTCCCTTGTCCTTTCGCACACGTTCCTGCAGCACCTCAGGCACACTCCTGCCTCCTTTGGGGCCTTTGCCTCATCACTTGCCCTTTATCTTGCCCGTGTGTGTGTGTGTGTGTGTGTGTGTGTGTGTGTGTGTGTGTGTTAACGTTTTATTTTCTGAGAGAGCATAAGCAGGGGAGGGGCAGAGAAAGAGGGAGACACAGACTCAAAAGCAGGCTCCAGGCTCCGAGCTGTCAGCACAGAGCCTAGTGCGGGTCTGGAACCCACACTGGAGATCATGATCTGAGCCGAAATCAGACCCTCACGCGACTAACTCATGCAAGCACCCCTATCCTGTTTTTTTTTTTTTTTTTTTTTTTTCTTTCAATGTACTCCTGTTTCCCGAACCCCTGCCCACCTGCTCATTTACAGCCTCTTTCTCCTGCTAGGTGGGCGGGACCCTGGATGTTTTGCTCCAGCTGTAAGGCCTGGCAAGCAGAGGGCCCTCGGGAAATGTTTGTTGACTGAATGCACGACGGAATGGAGGTGAGAATTCTCCACCAGACAAGGGGCACTTTTAAGAGAGCCCTTTGGAAACTTTGATTAAAGTGTGGCCTAGATTTTTTCCTAGAGGCCAGGGAAGGCGGCCACTGCCCGGCCACGTGGTCTCGGGCAAGCTGAGTCCCTTCCCCGGGTCTCAGTTTCCCCTTCCGTGACAGACAAGGCCTCTCTGAGGCCGCCCTGGCAGTGGCCACGAGGGGCTCCGGCGGGGTGGGCGGTGCTTTTCCCAGCGGCGCAAGCCGCCCAGGCGTCCCGCCTACAAGTCCCAGAGCCGCCCGCGCGCGGCCCCGCCCCCCCGCGCGCGGCCCCGCCCCCCCCTCCCGCGCTCCCGGAGACCCGCCGGACAAAACCGGGAGGCACGCAGGACGGGAGCGCAGTTGCACGCGGGGCGGCTGGCGTCTGTCTAGCACGTGCTGGCGCTGCGGGGGCCTGGGGTCCCGAGCCAGGGCGGGGACACAGGCTCCGAAAGGGGGAAAGCGCGGGGCTCCCGCGGGGCGTTTGTGCACCCCGGGCCAGGCGGGCTGGCTGCGTGCACCTCGCGCTCCTGCCCGGCCCCGGAAGGGGCCAGGGGGCCGGGGGCCATGTGTGTCTTACCGGGCGCTTGCCCGGGTGGGGTTTCGTTCACTCGTTCATCCTGTGCCCTCTGCCCATGGGGTGGCCGCACTTTCCCACTGCAAATAGGAGACCAACATAACGACCCACCACCGCCCTAAGAGCTTACATTTCAGGCGGAGTGGAGAGAGGGCAAATGAATGAATGGTGAATATTAGGTTTTATATTTAGGTAAATTTTTCTGGTTAGGCTGTGAGAAGGGAGCAAAGAGGAGACGAGAGATGGCCAAGAGATAACTGTTCTTTAGAGTCAGGGAAGGCCTGTGGGAATTGGTAAAAGCCACAGCCACTGGAGGACAGGGAACAGAGAGAACAGAATGAAAAGGCTCAGAGCGACTAACGTTTATCCAATATGTATTTTTTGGTTTAGTTTTTATTTATTTTTGAGACAGCAAGAGAGAGAGAGAGAGAGAGAGAGGGTGAGCAGGGGAGGGGCCGAGCAAGAGGGAGACACAGAATCCAAAGCAGGCTCCAGGCTCTGAGCTGTCAGCACAGGACAGGACAAGGGGCTTGAACTCACGAATGGTGAGATCATGACCTGAGCTGAAATCGGCCGCTTAACCAACTGAGCCACCAAGGCGCCCCCCCCATATGTTTTTTAAAAAATTTTTAATGTTTATTTTTGAGACAGCACAGTGGGGGAGGGGCAAAGAGAGAAGGGACAGAGGATCCAAAGTGGGCTCTGTGCTGACAACCCGATGCGGGGCTTGAACTCATGAACTATGAGATTTTGATCTGAGCCAAAGTCAGACTCAACCAGCTGAGCCACCCAGGTGCCCCATACCTAATGAGTACTGGGCACTTTTATGTGGTCGATCCTCACACACCACTAATGATAAAAGTCATTTGTCCTGGCATACCTGTTTGGGGTCAGGTCCTTGACTAGGTGACTTACTATTAGATGATTTAACCTTGGGGTGCCTGTGTGGCTCAGTCAGTTAAACGTCTGACTTCGGCTCAGGTCACAATCTCATGGTTCGTGGGTTCAAGCCCCATGTCGGGCTCTGCACTGACAGCTCAGAGCCTAGGGCCTGCTTTGGATTCTGTGTCTCTCTCTCTCTCTCTCTCTCTCTCTGCCCCTCCCTTGCTCTCACTCTCTCTCTTTCTCTCTCTCAAAAATAAATTTTAAAAAATTTGGATGATTTAACCTCAAAACAGCCTTTGTCATATGTAGGTACACCCAGTTTTAAGGCAGTGGGCACTGAGGCCCAGAGTGGCTTCCCCAGGGCCACCAAGTGAACGATGGCCAATCCATGATCCCCTTTTATTCTCCCCACAGCATTTAAGGAAGATTTGTCTCCCCACTTTGAGGGCTGGGCAGGTGAGACCTCAGAGAGGTTAAGAGAAGTGATTAAGTGGAAGTCTTAGGGGGAAGGCCCAGACTTTCAGGTCTGGAAACATTGGCCCTTATCTGAGACCGTGCCTGGGCGTGTGCGCTTGTCATGGGTTGAATTGTGTCTCCCCCAAAACATGTTCAAGTCCTAACCCCTGGTGCCCACGAGTGTGACCTGATCTGGAGGTAAGGTTTTCACAATCTAATCAATGTAAGAGAAAGTCACATCGGATTCGTATGGGGCCTAATACCGTGACTACCGTCCTTACAGGAAGCCCATGTGAAGGCGCAGACTCAGGGAGAAGGCCGTGTGACAACAAGTGGCGGAGAATGAAGAGATGTATGCACAGGCCAAGGAGCGCCATGATCCCAGGAAGCACCAGAAGTCACGAGAAAGGCACGTGTGGAATAGATTCTCCCTTCTTCGTGCACTCGGAGGGAGTACAAGTCCTGCTGCCACCTTGAGTCTGGACCTCTGGCTCCAGAACCACGAGAGAATAGCCTTCTATTGTCCTCAGCCACCCAGCGTGTGCTCCTTTGCTGCGGCAGCCCTGGGAGACTAACGCGATTGGAGAGAGGAGGAGGACAGAGCCCTGAGCAGGTGGAATCACACAGTTTGTCACGCTCGGGTCTCAGAACCGTCTTCAGAGCCACGCGGGTGTCCTGGGACTCCTGGGTGTCATTCCAGGCCCCAGGCCTGAGAAGCTGCCCTGTGCCTCCCTGGGCTTCAGCTGCTCAGCCGGGAAAGGTGGGGATCCAAGAAAGGATTCTTCTGCTTAAAACACCACCAGTTTATGTCCATTGCCGTCCTCACTGCCCAACCCCTACTGGGAACAGAACCGGCAGCCGCCTTCCCCTGCGCCCCTCCCAGGTGTCTCCGGAGCCTGGGCTCTTTCCCACAGCGACAGCCAGGCTAGGACCTCACCATCCCCACCTGCGTCTCGGAGGCACCATCTGGATGCAGCCCGAGGACTGACTCAGATCTATCTTTAGTTTTCTGTCCATCCCGGAACACCCGGCGTTTGGGTCAGTGGCCGCTGAGCTAGATGCTCCCAGAGCCTGGGACTCAGGCTGCATCCAGGCCTCTCTTCTAGCATCCCTCAGAAGCCCGTGTCCCTGCCCCATGCCGTCCTACACCTGCATTTGCCTCTCTATGGACTGGCAGTCTCCCCACTAGAGGTCACCTCCAAGAGGCTGCTGGCTGCTTTGTTCACTGCCACGTACCCAGGGCCCGGCACATGGAAAGCACATGATAAATGTGTGCTGAGGAGGGCGCCCGGCTGGCTCAGTCGGTTGAGCGTCTGACTCTTGATTTCAGATCAGGTCATGATCTCAGGGTTCATGAGTTCGAGCCCCGCGTCAGGCTCTGCCCTGATCGCCCGGAGCCTGCTCATTCGTCATTCGTTGTCTCTCTCTCTCTCTCTCTCTCTCTCTCTCTCTCAAGTAAATAAACTTTAAAAAAAAATCCTTTAATACATGTATGCCGACTGAGTGAGCAAACACACAAATGAATGAAGACTGGGATTGGAGGTGTTGGCGGGGGGGAACCCCAAAGCCTGTCTATTCTAATGGAGACCCAAGCAACTCAGGCTTTCTGCGGATCCAAGCCAAGGTTGCCCCTTGTCTCCATGCCAGGCTGCAAGGTAGAAGCGTGCGGGCCACCTGCACCCACCCCACCCCCAACCAGAGGCCTGAGGAACCCTGAAAGAAAACATCAACACAGCAAATCGAAAAGGATTTGCTCAAGTCTCTCTGTGGGAGACTTGAGGCCCGCAGACTTTGACGCGTTAGCGGAGCCCCATCTACCCGCCGTTTCAGGTTTGCAAGGCTCCTTTCTGCTTCTCGTCACGTGGTAAAAAGCCACCCCGTGTTCTTCGCGAAGGCAGTGGCAGGGCTGTGAGGAGAGAGCAGAGGGCAGGCCAGGAGGAGCCGGCCCTACGTTTGTGAGCCGTGCCCATCGCACCCATCGCAAGCCTGCCGGCAGCCACCTCCCCGGGCCTCGGTTTCCTCGGCTATGAAATGGACGTGATGGTAGCAGCTTCCTCGTGGGGCTCCTGCGGGGCCGGGAGACACAGAAAGTGCTGAGGTCAAACTCATACCGAGTAGGCGCTCAGTAAACGCAAACTCCTGCAGTTTTCGGTTTTTTACCAGCACCCCTCAGTTTCCAGCCGACACAGCAGCAGTCTGGGCCAGGTGGGGAGGTGGGGACCTTGTCAGCCCTCCCACACGTGCTCCTTCGGCGACTCCCGTTGCCTGTGGGACAGAGTCCCAAATCCCTTTGTTCGAGATGCCCGCCGGGCCCCCCCCCCCCGGTACAGAAAGGCGCCCCTCCCCGCTTCCCCCAGCCGTGTCCCCTCTCAGGGGCCCTCCCTTCTGTGTGGGCCTGGGCCTTCCCCCTCCCCCAGCAGTCTGCCAGGACCTGAGGCCTCTCCTCCGATAGATGGTTCCAAACAACAAATGGCTAGAAATGTCACGGAAAACAAGCACATTCAAAAAACGCTATTAACGTGTTTACAAATGAGCAAGTGATACAGGAACGTGTGTGCCCTTCCGTTGATGCGTAAAGTACCAAGAACGAGCAGTGGCTTGGACGATGCCAACGTTGTGGACGACCCGGCAAAATGGCCGGGACACCCGTGCTGTGCGTGTGGCTCAGAGCCGCTCAGGTTCAGGGTCATGGCGGCTGCTGAGGCTGCACGGCCCGTGGCCTGCGTCCACGGCTCGTCCGCGTCGGTCGGACTCTGCCGAGGAAGACTTTTTCCCTCGCCAAGTTCACAGGCCCTGAATTCTGTCCACGGGCCGGGTGGGTGTGGGGGCCCCAGGGAAGAACTCCTCCGCGTCAGTTCCTTCGGTCGTGGTAACGAGTTACGCACACTTCGTGGCTCCGGGTGACACAGATTTATTCTCTCATTCTGTTTACTCTGGAGGTCAGAGCCCAACAGGGGTCTCATGGGCCAGAGTCGAGGTGTCGGCAGGTCTGGCTCCTTCCGGAGGCTCTAGGGGATACATCCGTCTCCTTGCCCCTTTTCGGCTTCTGGAGGCTGCCGCCTTCCTTGGCCGGTGACCCCTTCCCTCATCTTCCAAGCCGGCTGCCGGGTGGGCTCTCCCGTGCTGCATCACGGTGACACGCTCTCCCTCTGCCCCCGTCTTCCAGCTGCTGAGTGGAAGATGGTCCCCCCCCCCCCATCACCGGCATAATCGTCCCATCTCAAGGCCCAGAGCCCTGGTCACAGCTGCAAAGCCCCTTTTGCCACGTGCGGTAGCTCGGAAAGCAGCGGCCATCTGTGGGGCTAATGAGGGTGTTTCATCAGTAGACAACCTGGGGCACTGCCTCCGTCCACCTTAGAAAAGTGGCCACTGCTGATCTGGAAACGTGGATCATAAGCAGGGCAATTCCCCCACTGGAGGCTGCACGCTTTTTACTTTTTGGCACTCCGCAGGCGAGCAGGTGTGTGTGCCGGGAATTTGCAGGAAGTCGCGTCCTGTAAATGGAAGCCTCTTTCCCCCCCACCCCACCCCCCACCCTGTGCGGCTAATCCCGGAGCTGCGAGAAACCCGTGAGAGCCAGTGCTCGGGAGAGGGCTGAGCCTCTCTGCAGTGGGAGTGAGGTGCCTGCCCCGGGGGCCGGGTTTTCCCAGTGAGCACTGGTCCCGGGACCCTGCCCCAGCAGGTGCAGCCCGGCAGGTGCATCAGAGGCTGGCTCTAGGAGCTGGGGGGTGGGGGGTGGCGGTGAAGGTACAGCACGGACGTGGAGTCTATTCTGGGGCGGTGGTGGGGGCAGGGGGCGCCGTGTCACACAGCTGGAAGGCAAACGGCTCCCTGGGAACACTGTCCTAGTCAGCTCCGGCTGCTGTGACTAAGGACCACAGACTGGGGGGCATGGATGACAGACATTTATTTCCTCACAGTTCTGGAGGCCAGAAGTCCAAGATGGAGGTGCTGGGGGGCTGGCAGGGTGATTTTTGGGGGGAGGCCCCTGTCCTTGGCTTGCAGATGACTGTCTCCTCCCTGTGTCCTCACATGGTCTTTCCCGGGTGTCTGTGTCCTAATTTCTTCTTAGAAGGACAGCAGCCATATTGGATTAGGGTCCACCCCGGTGACCTTATTTATTTACTTTTAATTTTTAATGTGTATTTGTTTTTGAGAGAGGGAGACAGTGCGTGAGCAGGGGAGGGGCAGAGAGAGAGGGAGACACAGAACCCGAAGCAGGCTCCGGGCTCCGAGCCGTCGACACAGAGCCCGACGCGGGGCTCGAACTCACGGACCGCGAGATCGTGACCTGAGCCGAAGTCGGACGTTCAACCGACTGAGCCACCCAGGCGGCCCTGTGGTGACCTCATTTAACTTCATCACCTCTGTAAAGACCCGGTCTTCCCGTACAGTCGCCTTCGATGCTCTGGGGGTTGGGACTAAACATAGGAATTTGGTGGTGGTAGGAGGGGGGGACACCGCTCAGGCCATAACAGGCACCTACTCTGCTTTTGCAGGCAACTCTCAATCGAACAGAATCATGCGTGGGGCCTCCCACGCTGGTCGAGGGCCCCCTGCTAAGTCCCACTGAGGCGGCCAAGAACTGGGGTCCTTGTCACACAAAGTCCCAGGAGATAAAGCGACCCCTGGCACCGCGAAACACGCGACGAATCCGAAGACAAGGGGAAAGCCATGCAAGTTGTTCTCTCAGAAAAGTCCACTTCCATGGCACTTTGGCTTTAAAGGTCACCCCAGAATCAGAGGCGATGGTGGACGGGGCACTGGAGGAAGCGGTGGGGCGCAGCCCTGCAGAGACGTGCGGCAGGGGCAGGCAGGAGCCCTCGGGCACAGTGTCACGGCCAGCCCCTCCGGGCCCCAGAGCAACGGTGACACCAGGGGCCATCTGTGCTGAGACTCCAAAGCCGGGGAGTGTGGCCTCTTGCTTCTGACCCGCGGTGGAGAAGAACCGGGGACGCAGGAAGCGATGCCCAGATGACCCAGAGGGCAGTGTGGGCTGGGCCCCGGGCAGTGCTGGTGGATGAGTTTCTTCTTAGCACTTCTGTTCTCTCCCCTCCGCTGCCTTCCCCCATCCCTCCCCCCGGGGAGAAACTCAAACTGGTAAAATAGCTACTTTTCTTGAGGGGCTGACTCATGTGTTAAGGAAGTATGCAGCCAGCGTGTTATTTGCTTTGGAAACAGCCCTTCCCTTCGAGAGTCTTTGTCTGTATTAGTGACACAAAATTCACGACGACTTACACACGCCAGGCTGTAGAATGGTTCACTCTGCTTATGTGAGCCTCGTGGTGATGAAAAACTCTCAAAAAACAACAACAACAACAACAAAAAACCCCCAAAACCCAAAACTCTCAAAACTACAGCCGCCCAGCTCTCCTGCCTCCTCCCACCTTCTGCTGCTTGAGCTCCATGAAATCGGGGTACCCTCGCTTTGCAGGTGATCCCGCTGGGTCTCTGGGGGGTCAACCCAGCCCCTCTCTAGGGAACAGGGTGCTCTTACTGAAACTGCTCCCGATAGCCTGCAGCCAGGAGGCATTTCCCACCCACTAGCCCAGGTAGGTGGAGAGGGTTCAAAGGCACCAAAGTTAGTCTCCAAATGGCCCTTTTGGCCACCAGGGTCCACCTGGGAAGGACATTTGCATTTCCTACTCTTTCCTTCCCAAACCAGGGCAGAGGGATGCCAAAGGGTGAGTGGGTTCTCAGGGTCGCCCACACCGACAGGCAACAAAACCCCAATGTCCCGTAAGGGAACCACGGCGCGGGGGGTCGGGGGGGGGGGGCAGTGGATTTTAAAGTAGGGAAGTCAGGAATCGGACCTCTGAAAAAAACATTGACTCCAGTATTTCCTAAGGAGGCCATCACTCTCGGTAAAGATAAAGTGTATAGTTTTAAAGAATATTTTTCTAACGGGGTAAATACTCCTTCAACCCCACTGACAAGCTTAACGACACCACCAAGTGGAGAGCCAACCCTCATTTCCCGGAACAAGTGCAAGGAGAACACAGAACCGCCCTCCCGCCCCCAACACAGGCGCCGGAGTCGCTGGCGCCATCTGCCGGCCGCTTTGAAACACGCACCGGAGATCCCAAGACCGCCCAGCGTGTGACTTCCGTCCCTGTAGGTCCCCCCCCCCCCCCGGGGGGGAAAGGGAAGCTTCCCACGGATGTCATCCCACCTGGAAGTTCCAGCGGTGGCAGCAAGAGTCTGAGCACGTGCCGTGGGCCTTAACTCTGAATCCTCCACGCCGGTCTTCTGCGAGCGCCGCTTTTAACGTCTCCCGTTCCGCAGATGCGGTCACCGGGGCTCAGAGAAGTAGAGATGACACGCTCGGGGCGCCAGCGCTGGGATTCGTCACTGGGCAGCCCACGTTCCTCACTACGTACAACGCTGTGCGGACACTTCAAATGTCACATTTTAGTCGACAGTCCCTCTCTCCCGTTTTGGGGGCAAAATGCAAGGAAACCATTACGGCAGGTACTCATGGCGGGTACTGCTTGAAGTTACTGAACCTCAAGAACTCGTCCTAAACCGTGTAAGACGTAGCAGGGAGAAAAACCCCAGTCCGGGATACGATGACCGTACAGAACGTGCATATGCATAGACACGCACACACACGTGTGACGGTAGCACAAGTTACGCCGAACGATACTGACCGTTACTGCGAACGACGTAGCGGAAAATAGAAAATATATTTTGGGGCGCCTGGGTGGCTCAGTCGGTTGAGTGTCCGACTTCGGCTCAGGTCACGATCTCACGGTCCGGGAGTTCGAGCCCCGCGTCGGCCTTTGGGCTGATGGCTCAGAGCCTGGAGCCTGCTTCCGATTCTGTGTCTCCCTCTCTCTCTGCCCCTCCCCCGTTCATGCTCTGTCTTTCTCTGTCTCAAAAATAAACATAAACATTAAAAAAAAATTTTTTTTAAAGAAAATATATTTTAATACGGCTCCACTACAAAAACACCAGTAGCAACAACTCCAGTCACTTCACGACCTACGAATGGATGTTTAATTTGGAAAACGCTGGCTCACACGTTCCCTAATGTGTTTGGCTCATTTCTCACAGAACCCCCTTCTTCAAAGGAAAACCAAACTCCGGGGGCGCTGGGTAGCTCCGTCGGTTCAGCGTCCGACTTCAGCTCAGGTCACGATCTCCCGGTTCATGGGTTCGAGCCCCGCGTCGGGCCCCGTGCTGAAGGCTCGGAGTCTGGAGCCTGCTTCCGGTTCTGGGTCTCCCTCTCCCTCTTGCTCTCTCTGCCCCGTCCCTGCTTGTGCGCAGTCCCTCAAAAATAAATAAATGTTTAAACAAAATCAAATTTGGGTTGAATGAAAGAAAAAAATGGTTTCCCAGGTCACTCCAAAAATGGCAGAGCTCCTACCAAACAGCCTAGAACATACGGAATAACGTCCCCTTGAGAGAATTTTCCAGAGCAGTACGTCGTCCCTTGAAGATGGCTTTACGTGGTACGTTTTACCTTCTGTCGTATTATTTCATGGCTCGTTTTTACTGCTTTATTTTCATTGTGTTAATTTTTATGGTTACCTCGGGCAAAAGAGAATCGTTTTCCATAGACTTCCTTTCTTTCTTGAAATTGATGGCGGTGGCTAATTTTTTTGCAAGGCAACCATGTTTTTCAAAAGCGGATCAACTGAAAGAAGTGAACAACAGTGAAAGCGGTGACCAGAGCAGCGTGCGCCTGGGACACTGCGTGACAACCGGCCCCTTCCCACACGACCAGGCACTCGAGGAGCTTCTCGCTTGGCAGAACCCCCCTGCTCCACAAGAGCAGCCGAGACGCGATGTCGTAAGCAGGGTGTTCACCTTGACCTACCGAATCCCACCCACGGCGTCCGCTCGTCCAGGCGCATGACAGACGAAGCCACCCCGAACACGGGCTGGGCAGGCAGGGGTCAGGAGACCCCCTTGGCTGCAGGGGGCTCTGAGGAGGCTCCCGGACGCAGGACACAAAGCAGGCCACGTTTTGCAGGCCGCTCCTGGTGTCTGTGCCCCCAGGACGCGGCGTCAGACCAACCACAGCAGGAGCAGGGAGATGTGTGGCCACCCTGTGCCTGCAGGACCCCACCTCGGACCCCCGGCCCCTCTTGTGCAAGGTCTCACCACCAGGCCGCGTCCGCGGCTCCCGCCAAGCGCGGGGTCACACGCAGAGAGGAGAAAAGGCCCAGCGAGACCAGACGGGAACATACGTGAAAGCAACGTGCCACCTTTGGAATCTACGTGGCAGGTCTGCGCTCACCTCCGTTTGGGACTTTTTGACGATCCAATGCCGGAAAACGTTAAGTGAGCGAGACGACTGGTCCTCTCCACAAGGCCTACTCTCTCCTCGCTCAACGAAGCCGGGACCTCTGGTTCGAACCGCGTGTGCGCAGCGGCCTGACACTGGTTAGAAGAGTCACGATCACACGCGTGGCTTTCTGGACTAGAAGATGCCAGCAAATCTCTTCCGCGTACCTACCGCATGCAACGCACAGCTCGGGCGCCTGCAGCGATGACGTCTAAGGTGCGGAGTTTCTCAAATACTCCGTGTGCCTTTCAGGAACCGTGAAAGCAAGCATCTTAAGTCCAGTGATTCAGCAACTATTTCCTGGTGCGTCAGCGAACCCCAAGCAGGCTTTAAGGCTCTAGGGTCTGGGCCCTGGCCCCGTCTGCCAGGGTTCACATCTCTGCGGGCGCCAGGGAGCCCCCCTCACTCCTGGTTCCGCCACCCCACAGTAATTTCGGTAAATGGACCTTGATAACCACGTTTTAAGTTGGCCAGTGACTAAAACTACCTAGCCCCTTGGTCACATGACAATGCCCAGTCTTGGAAAAGAACGCTCTTCGAAGCTCACGACTCGGGCCGTTTCGAGGTCCTTTTCAAGCATCGCCAGTCACGGACATACAGAGAATGAAGAAACTCCGGGTAAACGAACACTGATAAATCTCGTCCACCTGCCGTGAGGGTCAGCCACCGAGATAACCGAGCTGGACTCGGCAGAGCGGGCTACTTGCTGTGTCCCCCCACAGGCACAGATCATAAAGCCGCACGGCTGATTCATGCAGCAGGGAGAGAAGGGAGGTGGAAACGATTAACTTGAAGATTCAGACTTTTTCCCCCGTGCACCTGCCTTTCTCCCTCAAGAAACGCATCTTCCAATGCAAAGAGAGCTGAAGAGTTAAAGGGCCTGAATTTGCTTGGGATCTGACTACCAAAGAATTCAAACCACTGAGTGCAGGCGATCTCTTTCAGTAGAAAACTTTATTTTCGTTGCTTTTTACGAGTAGGCAAACAAGTCTTACAATATCATGAAAGCCAGATTTCCAAACTCAGCAAGCCAGTTTACATCCCAGTCCCAGACAGTAAAGCGTAAGATGCATCTGGGATCGCAGGGTAGGAACACAACAACAGACTCAAAGGTCAAATGTCGAAGTTGAATTTCATTTGATACTTACCAACCAAGAATTTTCAAGTACGAGAAATAAATAAAATAAAAATTAAAAAGCCACGCCTGAAAACAGTTACTGGGCGGGAGTTCAGCGCACGTCTCATGCAGGGGGCTCGCTCCTAACTTGAGGGCCACACAAACATCACCCGCTTGGGTCTGCACGCGGAACAGGCCCCGTCCCAGCCACCAGGACGTCCGCCCACAGAGCCAAACGACACCGGGGACGTGGAAGACGGAACGAAAGAAGCCGGTGCTTGGAGAAGCAGCGGCCGGACCCCCGTGCACGGCTCAGGATTCCCGCCCTCCTCAGCAAGACTGCTGCTCCCCCAACGGCGTCTCACATCACAAATCAAAACCCATGATCATGCTGGGCAGGACAACCATGTGAGAGCTTAGGGGGCAGGCCAGGGGAGAGAGAGACAAAGGGAGCTTAGGAGGCAATCTTCAAAATATTTTATTACAAAATACAGTACAGCGTCCGTAGAATGTTCCCCAATGTTCTCTAATACAGACGTGGCTGAACGAAGCGCTGAAAAATGCCTGGCAGTCGCCCACAGGAAGCTGACTTCTCTAATGACTTCAGTCCCCTCAGGGCCACAGCACAGACCTGTGACAGGCAGTCGCCGTGGCCGGCTGGGCTCCCGACTGCTGAACAATGATAGTTTTCTCCAGGGGTTGAAATCCACATCCATGGCTGACAACCTACCAAAAACTGGGACCCAAATTCGTACAAAGACGAGGCAGAGTGAGAGAGAACGACCCCGACGGCCCAGAAGTCTCCGGCCGCTACTTCTTATTCCTGGGTTTTAGTTCTTCGGCTGCGTTACGCAGGAAGATGTAATTTTTCTTTTGGGGATTATAAAATTCATGTCCCTAAAGGGAAAAAGACACAACAAGCTTATTATGAAAAAGCAAAAGTTAGCCATTTTGTGGGCACTCGGCACACACCAGGTCCTGTGCTTCGTGCATCAAACAGAATCTCTCTAGGGGAACAAAACAGGTTTCTGGCGAGAAAGAAAAGGCAAACAAACGTTAAGCAGAAACCGGTTTCGGAGGAAAGGTTAAGGGCGTGGAGGAAGTCCGTCTTCGGTGTCCCCCTCGGGCGGACCATCTTTTATGGATTTTCGGCACGGAGACTCTTCAGCCCACCCCCACTTCAAGGCCCGGAGGGCCGCCCACGGGAGGAGCAGAGCCTCCCAGGAGGTCGGGGGAGCACTGGCCTGGACTTGAGGCCTTGAAGCAGAGCGGACGTCTGCTCTGAGGCTTCCCGGGCACGAGGGCAGGGTCCGGGACAAGCCTCCCCACACAGACCCACAGAGAAGCGGAGGCACGCACGGCCGTCAGTGCGTCTGCTCGTGCCCGTGCTGAGGTGGAAGGAGATCGGTATGACTCTGGGAGAGCCAGGAAAATCTGGACCAGGCTGGACTCTGAAGGGCTGGGAAGGGCAGACAGGGGGGCTTTAAACATTATCCCACAGGGAAAAGGAACAGCAGCCACCAAAGTCCTAAGTGGCATTAAGAGTGATACGGGGTGGCTCCCGGGTGGCTCGGTCGGTTAAGCGTCGGAATCTTGGTTTTGGCTCAGGTCGTGATCTCACGGTTCGTGAGTTCGAGCCCCACATCGGGCTCTGTACTGACAGCGTGGAGCCTGCCTGGGATTCTGTCTCCCTCTCTCTCTGCCCCTCCCCTGCTTGCTTGCTCTCTCTCAAAAATAAACCAAAAACAAAAAAAAAGAGAGAGAGAAACGTGACAGACCTGTTTCAGGGAGATGATGGGGGCGGGGCAAGGCAGAAAGGCAGCACTCCAGGGACCAGAAGCGTGGGAACAGGGAGGTGGGAAGGGACACTGACTGCCCTCTGCCTCCCCCGTGACGACAGGTTTTTGCTCATCCCTGGGCAGATGTGCCGAGGTGGGTCTAGAAGCTTTGCTCAGTGGTGACCATACGTTCTCATCGTAACACGCAAGGTGCAGCTCTTCCAGTCAGGTACACTCGGGCAGCAAGCTGAGAGTATTAATCGTAAGTGATCACGGTCGCATCCCAGAGACAACGATCCTTAGACCAGAACAGGGTGAAATTCCCAAAGCAACTCCTTCCAAACGAGAACGAGGATTAAGCAGCGGGCGCCACGAGCTGGCGCAACCTGTTCGGACAAACTCATCCTGAGCGGCTTTCACGGCAATGAACTTTCTCACTTCCTTCCACTACCAATGTTTCCAAGCCCGAGACACACGGAGCCCCGCGGAGAAATCGAGGCCTCAGGCCACCACCTGGCTCCAACACCAAATCAGGCAGAACCGGAAGTGCACACTTTGCAAAACTGAGCGTGTGGCTCCCAGGGTGGATGGACAGACACGCGGGGCACAGTCGTGCCAGGGGCTGCTACACGGTGAAAAGGATGGACCAGGGATACGCTCCACGCCATGCGTGAATTCCACAATCATCACACTGAGTGAAAGATGCCAGGCAAAAAAAAGCGTGTGGTGTAGGACTTTTTTTTTTTTTTTTAACTGTTTATTTACTTTCGAGATAAGAGACTGTGTGAGTGGGGGAGGGGCAGACAGGAAGACGTCAAATCCGAAGCAGGCTCCAGGCTCCCAGCTGTCAGCACAGAGCCCGACGTGGGACTCGAACCCACAGACCATGAGATCCTGACCTGAGCTGAAGTCGGACGCTTAACGGACTGAGCCACACAGGGGCCCCTGTAGGACTCCTTTTACATAAAGCTCTAGAAACTGCAAACTCATCTATAAAGACAGAAAGCAGATCACCGGCTGTGTGTGGGGGGAAGGATTCCAGCAATGCACACGGAAACTTCTGGGGGTGATAAAAGCACGCTCTCGACTGCGGTGAAGGCTTCACGGGCATATATACGGATGCTGAAACTGATCACTCCGCACGACGACGACTGCATTGCAGGGACACGTCAGTACAGCTGCCTGACGAGAACCGAAGGGCGGCTGCACGGCCCGCATCAGCAAACGCTCAGCCACAGGGGGCACATCTGTAGAGGCCGGGGCAGGCATCGAAAATAACGTGCTGAAGGGCGCCTGGGTGACTCCGTCGGTTAAGTGTCCGACTCTCGATTTCAGCTCGGGTCACGATCTCATGGTTTGTGGGATCAAGCCCTGCGTCGGGCTCCGTGCTGACAGTGCAGTGCCTGCTCGGGATTCTCTCTCCCCCTCTTTCTCTGCCCCTACCCTGCTCGTGCTCTCCCCCCTCAAAATAAATTAAGCTTAAAAAAAAAATTAAAAATTACAAGAAAAAATAACAACGTGCTGAGCAGGCAGGGCGGCCACAGGCAGAGCGGCCAGAGACAGTGACTTCCGGCTCTTCTGAGAAAAAGAGAGAATCGAAGCTGAGACCGAGACCTCTGCCCCAAGAGAGCGGATGGTGACTGACACAGAGGTTGGACACAGGAGAGGCAGCAGGCCTGGAGGATAAAGGATGCGTGGGTGGGAGTCAGCAGGACTGTTCTCCCAAAGTGAAGGTACCCTAGGGCACCAGGTACACACATCCTGTCGGGACCATGATACCGGAAGAGCTCAGGAGTCAAGTCAGAAACCGAAGGGTCACTGGTTCACGGTGGAGAACCCCGAGCAGAACCAGTCAGGCTGAGAGCGGACCAGGAGGGGCAGCATCCCGGAGGCGGCCAAAACAACAGAAGCTGCAGGCGTTAACCTCTTCCGACGGGTCTATCGGTCAAGGGAAACGCGGCTCCTCCGCGAGCGCCGGCACGGGCCCCGGCTGGAGGACAAAGGAGCTGGCGGGGAGGGAGAGAAGGCGCTGGGAGGAGAAGAGGATGGAGTGGCTCAAGGGAGTCCCGTGCCTGTCTGCGGTGGCAGGAGGGCAGAAGGAGGCGGGCCAGAAGACAGACACGTGTGCCGATGGGAGGGAAGACACGGTGGAAAGGCTGCTGGGGGAGGGGACGAGAGAGACAAGGGCCGAACAATCCAGGAGAGCCAGCAGCTGAGAAGCAAGCCCGTGGGCTGGCCGGGAGACAGCAGACGTCAGCCAGCGGCCCGGAACTCAAGCACCCGAGTCAGGTCCCCTCGCCACTACGCCGGGACGCCTCAGAAACGCAGCCACGATCCAGTCAGCCCCTAAACCCCCTCCCCAGATAACACACAAAAAAGCCACGCCTCCAGCCAAAGCTCGGTGACCTGGCCCTGCGGCCCCTGCCCCCTGCATGGCCACTTCCTCTCTGGCCACCGCCCCAGCCACCACTGAAGGACGTGCGGCTTCCAGCTCCCCTCTGCTTCTGGGCTCACGATGACCAGACCCTGCCCAGGGGCAGGGTCCCAGGGAAAGGCTCTGCGGGTATGACTTCATGGGGTCTGCACACCTGGCGAGGAAGGCCTGCCATTTCCCTTGGAGGTGACGTGACGGTGACCTGCCAAGGTCACCAGCGAGTCCAGAGAAGAGTCACAGCTCGAGCCCGGGCCTTCCGCCTCCAGCCTGGCGCTGTCACCCGAGAGAGCCCAGGGCAGGACTGGGAATCCTCACCTTTGACCAGTCGTAGCTGGAAGCATAGGCAAATATGTTCCCATTGTGATTGAAGCAGCAGGCCGATATGGGCTGATCTAACTGTTCCGAAGTTTTTAGCTTCGTTCTGGCATCTTTGTCCCAAAAGCTGAATCTGCCATCGGATCCCACAGTGGCAAGGGTGCCGTGAACAGGATGGAATGCGATCCCGTTTACCTGAAGGGATTGACACGCACAGTGAGAAGTGGACGACGGAGGAGAAAGCACGTCTCTACCAGGACGTGCTTCCTGCTGCACGTACGAAACAAAACGTACAGACTGTCACTTTGTGAGAGCCGGCTGCCCGCTGATCACGGAAGAAACTAGCCATGCTTCCAGAATCAACGGCCAGCCCAGAACTGAGTCACGCCTCTTGTTAGGGACACAAGTCAGCAAAAATCAACACGTATGCGGCTACTGACACTGCGGAGAGGACCCCACAGGAATGCCTTTTTCTTTCTCAGCAAACAGCAATTTCTGAGTTTTAGCTAAGCGAATCAATTGCCTACCAGCACCCGAAAGGAGGTGGATGGCCCCGAGAGCCCAAAGCGAGAGCCCGAAGCTTGCACCCGAAGCAGCAGGCGGAGAGCAAAGACAGTGTGTGTCATAAAAACAGAAACCCGGGCCCTACAGCAGAAGTCATCTATCTCTGCCTGTGACCCCTAATGACTCAGCCACCCACCTCCAAGTCTAGTTTCTAGACAGGTTCTCAAGGTTAAAGTTTCTAAAAACATACCGCGTAGATGTCCTGAGGAGCTGAGGTATTGGTTCCGTTCGAGCGGTGACATTTGAAGGTGAAGTTGTCTTTGGCACTGAAAAGCAAAGGCCCAACTGAGTTTTCCTTTCTGAAAGAGTCTCCGGTGAAAATTCACAAGCGAATTGAGCCCACTTACGGATTTGGGGGGTTGATGTAGTGAATAGCAACCCTCCCCTCGATACTTCCCAGAGCGAAACCAGTCGGCTTGTTCTGTTTATCTTTGAAAATAGCCACGCATCGATGCTACCGTTTGTGGAGACAGAAAAAGAGAACGTTATCACAATGTAAAAGACAAGATTTCGTAACTAAGTGAAAATAAGTGATTTTCACCGTTTTTGGGTTTCAGAAGAACCAGAAACATATTACACAAATATGACACAGAAGTGACTGCTCGTCCTCCAGTAAACATCACTGTCCACCTTTTGGGAAACCACTTGTACTCGGCCACGTGACTTTGTGGATAAACCGCAGACGGCGCGCTTCCGTCCGGTGCCGCTCGGCCTCTGGCGCCACAAAGGCCTATCACTCCCGCGGTTCGTGTGACCCTCGGAGCCCCACCACATCCTACCCCGGTGCCGCCCCATCGTGGGGCGGGGGGCGCACTCGTGTCTCTGACCCACGGCCCACCACCAGGTGGGCTCCCTGCGGCGACTCACCCAATGCTTCTGAATCCGCTTCCCCAGGCAGAAGAGGGAATCGGCGTCTGCCCGGCAACCACAGGGGAAACCAGGGCCAAGCGGGACAGGGGACGCGACCAGCGCTTTCTAACTGTGACCACACTATGCAGAAGCAACACACCGCACCCCATCTAACGCTGGGTCTGGGGACCCAAAGGAGGGTCTCCTGGACTCTATAGAAGACCCCACCAAAGAGCCCGGGACCCAGCCCCCGCGGCAGAGGACCAGGGCCTGGGTCTTCGTGCCTCCTTCTATGCTTTCATCTACCTTGAGAGAAGAGCATGCCGGCGAGTGGGGGTGGCGGGGAGGAGGGGGGGAGACAGAGAGAGAGAGAGAGAGAGAGAGACAGAGAGAGAGAGAATCCCAAGCAGGCTCCGCGCCGTCAACACAGAGTCTGACGCGGGGTTCTATCTCACCGACGGTGAGATCGTGACCTGCACCGACATCAAGAGTCGGACGCTTAACCGCCTGAGCCAATCAGGCACTCCGTCACTTCCTCCTTCTAGATGTGACAACCTGGCCTGCCCCCGAGAACCAACCACCCGCCCCAAACTGGACATTTCATCTTCCTAGAGGGGTTGGGGAGGCATGAGAGCAGCATCAGAGCCTGGGACGAAGCCATAGAAGAATGATGGTAAAGAGCAGTTGCTGTTGTTGTAACACTTATTAGAGCGCACAAATTTCCTAAGTAAACAGAAAAGCACACGCTAGTTCTATTTCTGTACCGTTTGCCTTGTTTTGAACAGAAAGCCCATTACTTCTGCGAGTAGAAAAAAAATTAATATAAAGAGACAAAATCTGTAAGTTCTTAGAGGTCAGCAGGAACCATGGCTCGTCAAGCTGTGCCTCCCATGCTCAGCGCAGAGCCCAGGAACTGCACACCTCCAGGGGGCACCATCTACAAGAACACAACCACACAGCAGCCCTATGCAAAGGCTGATGGCGTGCCTCAACAAATGAAAGGCCAGGGTGCCTAGAAGCAGGAAGTAAAGTCAGATCAGACTAGGTTTTGTCAGGGAATCTGGGATTTATCCAAAGGGAAATGAGAAGTCACTGCTGGCTTTTCGGCAGAGGTGTGGCAAAGTCAGACGTGCCACTAGAAGAAAGAGCCCCCCCAACCCACGCGTGGAGAGCGGATCGAAGGAGGGCACAGACAGAACCTCTTACAGTCATTCGAGGAGGTTTGGATTAGATGTGGTGGGAGGGAAGGAACAAAATGAACAGATTCTAAAACACCTGCAGAAGTGAACCTGGGGATCAGGGGGACAGGCGGAAAGGAGGGGGAGCAGATCAAGGATGCCTTTCCGATTCGCAGTATTGACAACAGCAGGTGGCTCTCATGAGATGCAGAGCACCTGGGGAGGAACACGCTGGGGGGGGTGGGGGGCGGGAGCAGGTGAAGATCGTTGTTTTGCTCAGCAAACATCTACAGAAGCCTTCCACCCACCAGACCGGGCTGTAGCTGGGAACGAAGCAGCAACAAAGAGAGCAACAAAGAGAAATCTCTGCTCTTACTGAGTTTACTTTCTAGTGGGCAACACAAAACGAAACACATGAAACACATCACGCGTTTATCTCTAAGGTATATACACACATGCACACACGCAGTTTGGGGGAAAACGGCCAGGGAGAAGCCTGAGGAGAGGTAACACCCAAATAAAGATCTGCAGAAAGTCGTCCCGGGTTTGGTGACGGATACTGTTGGGCAGAGACGTCGGGAGACACGTCAAGGAGCTGTCAGACTGGGGGTGTCCTGCAGGCATCCCGGAGGCGAGGTCTGTGGGGGGTCTGAGTCCCCAGCCCACAAGGTTTACCAAAATGACAGCAGGGACGGGAGAGGAGGTCCTGCTTCAGGAGAGGAGGCAGCGCGGCCAAGGGCAGACACCCGGGGAACCCGACACGCAGCAAGCAGCAGTGAGGAAGACGAAGCAGCAACTGCGAGGCAGGTGGTAAGAGGCTGGCGTCGCAGAGAACAGGGACAAGGCATTTGAGAACATGTAGGGACAGTGGTGAATGCTGCCGGGCTGACAGAAGAGGATGGCTGGTCAGCGTCCACCGGAATCACTGACGAGGAAGCCCTCGGTGGCCAGCCAAAAGCTGTTTCAGAGGAGTCATGGAGGCAGAAGTCTCAAGGGAGTCGGGTGAGAAGTGAGTGGGAGGTAAGGAAACCAAGAAAGATGCTTAACTGCAGAGGAAAAAGGGGTCCGGGTGGGACCAAAGGATGTGGGCCAAGAGTGTTTCCTCGGGTGAAGAAGACTAGGGCACATGTCAGGGCCGGTTGTGACATCAGGAGGGGGCGGGAGTCCAGACAACCCCCGCCCCGGAGGAGATGGGGACCACCAGCACGAGGTTCCACAGACCCCCTCCACACGATGGGCCTTCCCAAGGGGCACACGTCCCCTGACTGGCGGGAGAAAGCGGGGGCAAGGTGCAGGCGCAGGTAGACTTCTAGGTTCAGCGGGAGGAAGAGAAGCTCCCCACCGCTGGTCCGTATGCTCTCTGAGCAGGAGCCGAACGGATGTGCGGAGACAAAGGTAGGGGAGGGAGGGCCTAGGAGTTTCAAGTGAAGAAAATCTAAGAGTCTGTGGCAGGTGAGCTGACGAGAAAAACCCGGTAACTGGGCGGGATGAAGGCACAGCGGAGGCTGGGAGCGATGCCCACGATGGAACCAGTCCGTGGGGGTATGCGATCTGATTCCGCAGCATCCAGCTGTCCGGGGCATGTCTGGAGAGGACAGAGAAGTCTGGCTTGTCCAGGGATGGACAGCAGTTACTCACTAAATACTTGCTTAAATCCTCAACTTCACCCCCTTTGAAACTACTTGCCGGGGCGCCTGCGTGGCTCAGTTGGTTAGGCATCCGACTCTTCATCTCGGCTCAGGTCATGAGCTCATGATCTGGGAGTTCAAGCCCTGCATCGGGGTCTGTGTTGACAGCTCCTGCTTGGGATTCTCTCTCTCCCTCTCTCTGCCCCTCCCCTGCTCACGCTCACTTTCTGCCCAAAGAAATAAACCTTAAGAACTTTAAATAAACAAACTTTAAAAAAAAAAAAGAAAATGCTTACAGGTGTTTGGAAGCACAATTGTATCCCAATCGTGCGCAGTGAAGTGTGACACAGGCTCGTAAGTATGTGCGTCCTGGTCACGTGACTCACCTGATGTTTCAGCGGGGATTCTATCCTCCTGAATTCGGAGGGCTGATTCTCTAACTGGTAGACGATCAGTCCCCTCTCTGCAGTCGCCACCACGGCCATAGGGTAGATCTAGGGAATGGAGGAGGCAGCGGCGTGCTTAAAATGAAGGACTGTGGTTTTTTTACACAAAACTATTAGATCGAAATTCTTTCAGAGTCACAAAAATAAGTCTGAGTTTTTTTTAATTTAAAAAAGACCACTGGTATCAACATGTTTCATGAAAATCTGTAGAAACCGTATCTGCAAGTAGAACGTCCGTTTTTAAAAGGCTCGTTTTTTAAAACTATAAAATACAATCATTTGAAAAGTACACCGAGGAAGAGAGGAGAAATCAAAGTCACCTACACCATCCCTTCAGATGACAGCTGTTGTCACTATCAGTGTGTTTACTCCGGTGTTTCTTTGAGCATTACGCACACATAGGCATGTATGTATGTTCCTGCATAATCCGGATCCTTCTCTCGAGGTGTGTGTTCCGAGAACGCTACTGGTGACTGTGCAATATTCCCTCAAACAAACACAGCACCAGGTTCGTTTAATCTCCCTGGTCCTGTTGGCCCATTAGGTCACATCCAAGGTTTCGTCGTGTTACACAAAACAAAACCCATCTGCGTCGTTTTTCTCACAATAAATTCCTAAAAGTGCGATTACTGGTAGTTCGCACAAAACTTTAAGACTTATAACCAGACGGACAGAGAAAGTTCTTCGGTTTCTCTTCCACTCACGGTCCCCAAAGATCCGGTGCCACACCACAAAGTTGTTGCCAGTTTTTCTACAGCAACCAAAAAATGTTATAGACTGATGGCACGTGGCTTCCTGCGTATGTTCAAAACACAAGTGGCAAAAAAAAAACCCCGGCAGCAGGATTCAGTAATTTTGGAACAAATCCAGCACAAAAATCTCCTGATTCAAGACGACAGGAGGTCTGAACTACATCCTCTGGGAACTTATTATTAAAATTCGAGGGATTTTTACATTATCCTCTAATTGCAAGATGTCATCAAGTTTTGTATTTCTCTTAAGAGGATACATATTAAGTCAGAAATTCCTCACCACATCGGCGCAGTAACATCTTTCAGGGAGTTGCAAAACCATCATGGGATTTGATGATCGTGTATCCCAAAACTAGAAGGAAGAAAAAACAACAAAAAGCCAGTAACTGACCATTCAGAGCTTTAGTGCAAACAGCATGAGAAGTAAATGTCCATCCTGGTCAGGCCATGCAGTCCCCTCAATGGCATAATCATACCTTCAAAGTCTTATCCCAGCTGCCAGTCATCACACAGCTGTAGTTTGGAGCTTTGATCCAATGGATGGTCTTAACAGGCGCGTCGTGCTTTCAAAACAAAATCAGAGCAGATCAGGATAAATGTAACCATGTGCCGAACGGGCCTCAGTTCTGGAAACTCAAAGACAAGGAATGAACTTAAATATCAAGGTCGTACCAGACAAACACCAAAGGATATCCAAGCCCTTCCCAATGACCGTGACATCCAATTTACCCCGAGAACTTATATCTACTTACCATCCTGACAAATGTTAGTTTTATTTTCCCCCTAATTAGCGAGCACGTGAGAGTAAAAGCAAGCCCCTTCCCAGGGAGGTGTTCAGCAATGACAAGTAGGGACTCCACCACTTTTGTTTATACTAAGGTGGTACGAATCAAGAAATCAAGGAGATGCTTCTGGCACACAGCCCTGTGATCTCGGACTATGCGATGCCTTTCTGAAAACGTTTCCACGTCAAGGGGCCCTTCTCAAACAGGTCAGACCCTCTGGTTCTTGGCCCTCTTGCCTCCGTTACTCCTGCCTTAGCAGTCTTTCCACAAGAGCGTGCCTGCTGTCCCCAAGCAGGCTAACAGCTCCACGGGCGCGTGCAAGCGTCCTTCTTACTCGCTGCCGTGTCTCTACCCCTACGGAAAGTGCCTGGGATACAGCAGGCATTCAATAAATACTTGTCGAACAAACGAGTATCCAAATACAGTTGGGAAAAGGCAAGCCGCACACGGGTGTCGGAATGTCAGATACGTGAATGTTGAGGCCCACGGGCACCAGCCTTTTGTGGACGGCGTTTATTACCTGTGCAATCTGTATTGCTTGATTACTGTTGAGGTCCCACATTTTGGCAGTTTTATCACATGATGCTGTAAATACTTTGCTCCCATCCTAAAAGAAAGTGAAGAAAATTTGTCATTGGAAAAAAATAAAATTTCTATCTGTATATTAAGTTGATCATATTGAGGCAGGTTTCATTTTGCAATTTTTAAAAAATTTTTTAAATGTTTATTTTTGAGAGAGAGAGGGAAAGAGAAAGAGCACAAGTGGGGAGGGGCAGAGAGAGAGGGAGACACAGAATCCGAAGCAGGCTCCAGGCGCTAAGCGATCAGCACAGAGCCCGACGTGGGGTTCAAGCTCAAGGACCATGAGATCATGACCTGAGTCGAAGTCGGACGCTCAACCGACTGGGCCACCAGGTGCCCCTGCAATTTTTATTTTTCTAATTATCTGGGGGCTAGTATATTATAAACTACGCTGTCATACCCAAAACGTGTTTTAGCTTCATTTCTTTATTACTGATTTATTTTTCTAAGAAATACCACATAAACAGGATGAAAACCATTCAAATAGCTCTTGAAGTTATACAGGGAAGATGAGGTCTCCCACCCCTGACCTGGCTCCTTCCTTTTGGGCCACTCACTACCCTCTGGGAGTAGTTTTTGGGTATCCTCCATCTGTGTGTATTACCAGGGGACGTTTATACATTTTTTCTTGTTTTGATTAATTTTAAGCTGTTTTTTTTTTTTAAATGAATTTCAAGCCCTCACAAAAGTTGCAGGAATAAAACCATGAAGATCCGTAAACGCTTCACCTAGAATCACCAATGGTAAACACATTTACGGTATCTCTCTATGTAGACACACGTATATATCCATAATCATTACACATTTGTTCACCTATGTATCCAATAACATTCTGAAGTGCACACCCTAAGACTACACTAATTTTTATTCTTTAAATTTCTTTAATGTTTATTTATTTATGAGAGAGTGAGAGTGAGCACATGTCGGGGGGGGGGCGGGGCGCAGACAGAGAAGGAGACACAGAATCCAAAGTGGGTTCCAAGCTCTGAGTTGTCAGCACAGAGCCTGACACGGGGTTCGAAGTCCCGAACCGTGAGATCCTGACCTGAGCCGAAGTTGGCACGTTTAACTGACTGAGCCACCCAGGTGCCCTTACGCTAATTTGCAAAAATCACTGGTCCTATGTAAACTATAGAACAGCTTAAAAAATTAGCAATCATGGTGTGGTGATTTTAAAAATATTCAAATACAGGGATGCCTGGGTGGCCGAGTCGGTTAAGTGTCTGACTTCGGCTCAGGTCAGGATCTCACGGTTCGGGACTTCGAACCCGGTGTCGGGCTCTGTGCTGACAGCTCAGAGCCTGGAACCCACTTCAGATTCTGTGTCTCCCTCTCTCTCTACCTTTCCCCAACTCACACTCTGTGCCTCTCTCTCTCAAAAATAAACAAACGTTTAAAAAAATTCAAATACAGAACTCATAAATTAGGTCAAATACGAAGAAGCACAAGATAAGTTTTAAAAAGTACTAAATGGAAAGTTCTAGACCAGCGGTTGGCAAATTTTTTTCTTTAAAAAACAATTTTTTTTAATGTTTCTATTTTACTTTTGAGAGAGAGAGAGAGAGCCACACAGTGAGAGCAGGAGAGGGGCGGAGAGCAAGGGAGACGCAGAATCCAAACGGGCTCCGGGCTCTGTCAGCACAGAGCCCGACGCGGGGCTTGAACTCACAGACTGCAAGATCATGACCTGAGCTGAAGTCGGACGCCCAACTGACTGAGCCACCCAGGCGCCCCACAAATTTCTTTCTTAAAGGGCCATTTATTTAGTGAATGTTCGTCTTTATAGGTCTCCGTTCCAACTCCTGAAGTGTTACACTTGAAGGCAGCCATACACACTATGTACATGAGGGAGTGTGGCTGTGTTCCAATAAACTTTATTCCCAAAAATAGGCAACGGGCCACAGTCTGCTGACCAGTGACCCAGATTATGTCATTTCTGGTTCCAAAGCTCCAAGATTTACTGCCATCCTTCCCCAGCAAAAGTTTCTTCCCATAGAAAGTCACCAGTTCTGCAACTGAAAGACAAGATACAACCTGCCTGTGTCGGTGACCTCGGAAGGCTCACTCTGTAAACCCTCAGAAAGACACCGACGCATGCGATGGCCACCCCCAGACCGAGGGATGCGCCGGCCTCTCCATCGCACCGGCAACGCCCGTCCCACCAGCCGTGACCAGCACCACACGGCAGCGGCACACGAGGGCCCAGTGGGCGCGTCGACCTCGAGGCTAATCTACCCGAAGGCGGGGCAGACGACAGCACTCGTGTTCCTGGCCCTGTGTTCTCCACCCAGCTGCTCTCCACGCTGCTACGGCCACGGAGCGAAAATGTCCTCAGAGGGCAAAGAATCATCTTCGCCAAGTTTGGTTTTTATGCCTCCACGGTCGCTCTGGCTCTTTCGTGCTTCCGTGCCGTTACGTACGTGGCTTCCTCTCCCGGACGCTCTTCCCACGCTGGCCCATTTCCCTTCCTGTAGGCCTATGAGGGAGGCGGTCAAGCACATGGGCTCTGGAGCCAGGAAGGTCTGGGTCTGGGCCTAGACTCGGCCACTCACTATGTTCCCTCAGGCAAGCCTGTCATCTAACACCATGCCCGTCGCTTTACGTACGTGTGGTCTAGCTGTCACAAGTTCTGCCACCTGGAATTCTTACTTGTTTCTACAGGTCTGTCCTAAGAGACCAGAAATTCCATGAATACGGTATTTGCCTACCTGGCCTACTTTGTTTTCCACTCTATCCCCAGGGCTTTAGCTTACTAGAGGAGCCTGATAGTTATTTGCTGAATTAAATATGACCTGTCGTAATTATGATCACCTTCATTTTACAAACGAGGAAACAGATGAAGAGATCAGGTAACCTGCCAAACTGAAAACACTGAAGAGTAGAGCCCAAATTTGAACCTAGGCCTGGACTGGATGACACAACGCTCAAAAAACTAGAGGCCTGTGTGCAGTTCGTTTCTCTAACTCTTGTCTCTTCAGTGAAGCCTTCACGGCACCCTCCCCAAAATTTACAGTTGCTTTCTGTGTTCCCCACTACCCAGCACCAGCACACCTTCTCAGAACTCAGAACCCTTCGTTACGGTGCTCAATCCCTCCAGCAGATGACGCACAACTCGGGAGAAAGGAAATAAGCTGTTCTCGTTTTTATATATCCCGAAGCCACTCACTACATCCTCTACCAGTCCATTTTACTTCTTCCCTACTTTATAAGAAACTTTACATTCTGATCCATCACCAAATCAGAAAAAAAAGACAAGCAAAATAAATCAAGTATTTTAAATTTACTCAAGTTATTACTTTTCCACGTGCAAATTAAAAATAAGTTGTGGGGCCCCTGGGTGGCTCAGTGGGTTTAGTGTCAGACTCTTGATTTCAGTTCAGGTCACGATCTCACAGTTCATGAGTTCGAGCCCCACGTCAGGCTCTGTGCAGACACCGCACAGCCTGCCTGAGTTTCCGGGGTTTTTTTTGGAGAGAAAGAGAGAGCATGTGCGTGAGCAGGGGAGGGGCAGAGAGGGGGACAGAGGATCCCAAGGGGGCTCTGAGCTGACAGGCCAACAGCAGAGAGACCAATGTGGGGCGTGAACTCATGAGGCTCAAACTCATGAAACTGTTAGATCACGACCTGAGCCGCTCAACCGACTGAGCCACTCAGGTGCCACCCCCCCCTTACCTGGGATTCTGTTCTTCTCTGCCCCTCCCCTGCACGTGTGCTCACTCTCTCTCTTTCTCTCTCTCAAAACAAACTTAAAAAAAAAACAAGTTGTATCTGTAAAAAATGCATCTTTTCAAATTGTTTTCACAGATCTATTATCAGTCTCATACTAACCCAATCAGATATGTCAAGAAAACACCTTCAGATGACAAAAATGCTCAGAGAAAACCATCACAGTTAATGATGAAAACAGGAGCACCTCTGGCTCCTGAACCATCCCGAAATATTGATGAGTAGCAGACTCCTTTCTTAGTTAGAAACTAAGTAAGATCACGTCATTTAAAAACGACCACATAAAACAGGAGTAATTGGCAATTTCTCATAGTTAAACATATACTCACCATACGACCCAGTAATCCATTATCTACCCAGGAAAAATGAAAACTTTTGTTCGTGGCAATTCCAGGACCCAAGTGTTTACAGCAGCCTGATTCCTGACCAAAATGGGCAACAACCCGAACGTCCTTCTCCTGGTGGCTGGGTGAGCAAACGATGACCCGGCCACGCAGTGGGCCAAACCGTTGGCACGACCACCTGCACGGGGCTCAAAGGCGCCACGCGGAGCGAAGGGGCACCGCGGGGCGGGGCTGTCTGCGTGACCCGGCACGGGCACCAAAACCACACCAGTGGTTTCCAGGAGCTGGGATCGGAGGAGGACGTGCCCACACAAGGGCGGGGGGGGGCCGCCGGCCTCCTGGGGGCTGATGTTCTGTGTTTCGACCACAAGTCTCTGCAGCCTCGAAAACTGACAGAATTACACGCTAAAAAGGTTCCGTTTCACCGTCTGCAAATCATGCCTAATGGATCTGACCGAACAAATGACACAGAAGGCCCGGGAGGGGCCGGAAGGCCTAGCCTCCCCCCGCATGGGGGTACATCCGTCTGCCCGTCAGTCAGGCCCCTGTTCTCTTGCCTCCGCTGGGCTCAGCCAACCGGGCCACAGCGGTGGCGGGAGAGAAAGGCTGAGCTGTCAGGGCCCAGCCCCTCCTCTGCCCAGGGGACCGGCCTCTCCACAGCTGCGGCCCGCCACACCCACCTTCCCTTCTCTGTGGGCCTTGTGAAAGATCTCTCCATTTAGACTCTCCCCAATCCACAGCAGAAGCTCAGAGCCACATTAACTTGGACATATTTGTTTATATGACTGATGTTCAAGATTCGGAAGGAAAAACAGAATTCTAAAACCCTAAAAAAGACTTTAAATGTCTGTTAATAGAAAAAGATTATTTTTTTTCTCTAGCGTTTATTTTCTGAGATACTAAATTTCCAATTTTAAAACAACATAAATTTATGGCATAAAGGTAAAAAAAGGTTTCCAGAAATTATTTAATCCTTTGCCCAAGGTAACGTGTCAGTAAAATGAAGTTGTGTTTTTTTGTTTTTTTAATTTTTTAAAATGTTTATTTACCTCTGAAAGAGATAGACAGACACAGTGAGAACAGGGGAGGGGCAGAGAGAAAGGGAGACACAGAATTGGAAGCAGGCTCCGGGCTCCAGGCTCCGAGCTGTCAGCACAGAGCCCAACGCGGGGCTCGAACTCACAGACCGCGAGATCATGAACCGAGCTGAAGTCGGACACTCAACCGACTGAGCCACCCAGGCACCCCTAAAATAATGAAGTTTTTATGCAAGAAAAGCTTTCAGATTAACTAAAGCTAACGTTAACGGACCCCCTTAGGAACATCAACGCATTCAGAAACTCAGAATTTCCAACAATGTGTACAGATACCCGCTATTTGTGGTTTGGGTTATATAAAAGTTGAAACACAAACTCTGGATTACACACGATTTTACGCTGCAGAAAACACGAAAACTTGAATGAGACTCACATCACTCCAGCAGACATCTAACACCGGCCCCGTATGCATCTGCTGGGCTTTTGGGATCGTCTGTCCGCTATCTTGAACTTCCCAGCAGCGAACCTGAAGCGATACGACAAATGAACACAAACAGCAAGCCATGGCACACTGCACGCAGTAAACACCTGATAAGGAATAGGGGCAACTTACACATACAGAAACGTCTCCTATCAACCTCATTAACTTTAACAACAAAGCGATTGAGGGGCGCCTGGGTAGCTTCCTCGGTTAAGCATCTGACTGTCTATTTTGGCTCAGGTCACGATTTCATGGTTCACAGGATCAAGCCCGGAGTCGGGCTCTGTGCTGACAGTGCAGAGCCTGCTTGAGATTCTCTCTCTCTGCCCCGCCCCAGCTTGTGCTCTCTCAAAATAAATATTTAAAAAAAAAAAAATGTTTGCTGTGCTGTCTTTCTATGCACACGCTGTCTTCAAGAAACTAGATTACAGGGGTGCCTGGGTGGCTGGCTCAGTTGGTTAAAGCATCCAACTTCAGCTCAGGTCACTATCTCGCGGTCCGTGAGTTCTAGCCCCGCGTCAGGCTCTGGGCTGATGGCTCAGAGCCTGCTTCCGATTCTGTGTCTCCCTCTCTCTCTGCCCCTCCCCCATTCATGCTCTGTCTCTCTCTGTCTCAAAAATAAAAATAAAACGTTACAAAAATATATATTAAAAAAAAAAAAAAAGAAAACAAACTAGATTACAGAGTACCTTCACTCTCGTCAGCACTTTTCTCCCTGCATCATTAGTTGCCATTACGCGTTCTTCTGACGTTTTTTAGTGACTCATTTGAAGTCTTTCCAGAAACTACATGTAGAAACCAAACCTGCTCAGCCATGGCTACCTTCCTCCCCTTGGTGTTCTCCTCTCTTCATCCCCCTGCCGCCCCACTGCCTCCCTGCTGCCGAAAAATCTTTTCCAAAACCTTAAAATGGCAATCCAGCATACAAACATACCACAGGATACCATTATTAGTGGACTAGCAGGAGACTTCTTAAAATGAGGCAGTATCGGGGAGTGGCCAGGAGTCTAGACCCTGGGCCATATTGCGCGGGTCGGCAGCCCCGCCTCGCTCCTCCCTTACATGTGGGCCCTGGGCCAGTTATTCTACTCCTGAGCTCACGAGCTGCTTCATAAGACGGGCACGACGGCGAAGAGACTGCTGGAGAGTCTGCAAGAGACAGCCTGGGGACGTTCCTCATGCCCCACAGTGGAATCACTAAGATGCAACGTACAAACTTAAGGATTTCTCACAGGTATGGCCGATTACCTTTCAGGAGCCCCGTAGCAATCTACACACTCAGCAGTGGTACGTGTATGGTTTCGGCTTATCTTTGCCGAGACCAACCGTTATGCTTTTCTGCTTTCAATTTTCGGTAACGTGACGGAGTCTATCACCTAAGTCTGAATTCATCTGCTCAGGAGTGTGGCCGGATGGCTCCAGTCCACACCAAGGGGCCACCTGCACTCCCTCTGTGAAGTGCCTCTTCACATCCTTTGCTTATTTTTCTACCAGAGTTTTTATCTTTCTGTGTACTGTGATTTTTTTGCCTTTCTTCTTGTACGCCACAGGCTAAGCGTAACACCTACGCACGATCTGTGCTTTGCCCGAAGTTAAACAAGTTTAACGTGTGCCTTAAGAACGTTTCAGGATAAGAAAAGAAATTTATGTATACTACCACGGGTAACAGTCATTCTCCACGATACTACATTTGATCTGGGAATCCACGTCAAGTTACTGAACTAAGGCAGGAAATTTTTTTAAGGTCGTATGTATGTACGTACGTATGTATATGTACGTATGTAAAGTAATCTCCACACCCAACGCGGGGCTGGAGCTCAGAACCCTGAGATCAAGAGACATGTGCTCCACTGACTGAGTCGGCCAGGCCCCCCCCAGAGGAGGAAGTTTTGAGTGATGCCTACGATCACGCTTTCTTAACAAAAATCAGGGTAACAAATGACGTCAGTGCACTCAGAAGGGTCACACCCTCTAACCGATTTCTTTCTTCATTCACTTCATTCACTTGGGAAAGAACGGAGCCAAAAGGAAAGCTAACCCTGTCCATACAAAGAGAGAGGACTTCTAGAACATGCACGTAAGGAGCACTTACATCATTAGCCCACGATCCTGCAATAAGAAAGTTCCCGGGCAAGGTTGGTGGGCTAAAAGATAGACAACCAATGCTATCATCAGGAGACGATGTTACTTCAATATCCTGGGGGGAAAAAGCCAGCGTTACAAAGTATGCATCATTAATTTCATTCAAAATTGTTTTCTTTCTCACTAAGCACTCAGGGTAGACTTTCCTTGTGTTCAAGAACTAAATGAACTGGACCTCTCTTACTTTGATCCCAAAGGGGAAGCTATGGGAAGGACCAGCATAGATGGGAGGGACCAGACCCAGCACTCTATGAAATGCCCATCATGATATCTTCCAAGCGACGGCCCACTGGTTCACTGGGGCCTCGAAGTGCTTGACCAAAGTCATCGCCTGTCCCCACCCCAAAGGAAATTCTAACTCAACAGTCGTGGGCTGGGCCCTGGGAACCCACAGTTTTAACAAGCACCGCGGTGACTTAAGAGATGGGGAAAGTTAGGGTGCCCGGGACACTCGGGCAGTGGACACAGCTGCCGTGCTCCCGAGTTGGAGAAAGTGGGCTAGACAGAGTTTCAGAGCTTTCGCCCCAAAGGAGGCTCCCACACCACTTCAGTGTCCCTCACTCGGGGAGGCCCTGGCGAGTGATTTCCTCCAAGTGCCGTGAAGCTTTCCGCGGTACCTTCATGGGGTTGTGGTTATCTGTGCTTGTGCTGCCAAACATGCTGGTCCCACTGGTTCCGAAACCCGAGGTTGTTCCGAACAGACTCATTTTGGCCCTGAAAAGTAACGGAAAACGTTAAGCACGGGTCCTTTCTTCAGGAATCAAGATCACTGAGAGCTAACTTAAAGCTAATTCAGCCACAGAAGAAAAAGAAGACTCTAAATGAGTTTCTCTCTTCTCAAGACATCTAAACATGTGATAAGCAGGTACTTTTTTTTTTTTTTTTTTAATTTTTTTTAACGTTTATTTATTTTTGGGACAGAGAGAGACAGAGCATGAACGGGGGAGGGGCAGAGAGAGAGGGAGACACAGAATCGGAAACAGGCTCCAGGCTCCGAGCCATCAGCCCAGAGCCCGACGCGGGGCTCAAACTCACGGACCACGAGATCGCGAGATCCCGTGAGACCGCGAGATCGTGACCTGGCTGAAGTCGGACGCTTAACCGACTGCGCCACCCAGGCGCCCCAAGCAGGTACTTTTTAAAGATGAACTTTCTACCCTAGGACTGTTTTTGACTTACAGGGAATTGTCAAGACAGAGTTTCCACACACCGCACAGCCAGCTTCCCCGTTTCCCTCACACGTTTGCCACCGTTAGTAAACCAAGACGCTACGGCCGAGTGCTTTTCAGTCACCAGCCAGAAAATAAATTCACCCACGTTTTACGTAGTTTGAGACGCTGCCCTTGGCACCAGGAACACAACAGTGAACCAGCAAAAGGCCCCACTCTTCAGGTCACCACTCAGTGGGAGTTTCCTGTCTTCTTACTAACTTCTACGCTGCTTTAGGTCGGCATCTCCGAACGAAGTCACTAAGACAAGCAACCAGTCCCGGCAAAGTTCAGCAACTTCTCCGTACGAGAAGTTTTAAACAGTACTCCATCGGGTCTGCTCGAGTACCCAAAGGTCTGGTATTACATCCGGGACAACACAGAATGGGGAGACCGCTAGGGATTCTGGAAAGGCATCTGGGCTTCCCGACCTCATGAAGCAAGTGGGCACCCAGCGACTCGGTCAAAGCAACGGCTATGATCCCGTCGGCATCTGAGAACAACTCTGTGAGAGGACGTTAAATGTGAGCAGTGCCCGGGCAACGCCAGCTCACTGCATGAGAACAAAGGAGTAACAAGGCTTCTGCAGGCAGAGTCCAGGAACCAGTGGCGACACGGCTTGGGGCAGGTGACTTAGCCTCGATTTTCTCATCCCCGAAAACAGAGCCACGAATGCCCACTTCACAGAATCACGAAAAACAAGGGAGGTGGCGTGCACACACGCACGGCACCTGAAAATTCTCTGTTCCTTCCCTCTCTGCAGCTCTCAAGTTGGGAGAGAACGTTTCTGCCACGTGGAACCCGGGGAAGGAGCAGGGGTCATGCAAGCATCAACCAGGCTACGTGGACCGCGTGTCACACAGGACGCTGGGACCCCTCAAGCTCGGAGGACCCGCGTGCAACTCAACCGCACCTCCCCGCCTGCGCCACCCGCTGCGTTCCAGCCAGGCTGGCTCTGCTGACGCCCTTCCTGCGCGTGGACACAGCAAGGTCCACCCGGCCTTGGAACACTGCTGCTACCTGTTCCTTCCGCCTGGGGTGACTCGCCCTCCCCCATCCTCCCGACGTCTCAGGCTGAATCTTCAGACCCCCAATTCAAAAGCCGTCTCCCGAGCACTTTTGGGGGGCGATGGAAACGTTCTAAAACTGGACTGTGGTGATGTTGACACAACCGTAGGCAACTTCCCAAACCCATCGAAAAGGTCCGCTTTAAAAGGGTTACAGTAGAAGGCCGCTAGACCCGTCTGTTGCCAAAAGGTCACCTCCTCAGAGGCGTCCCTGTTTTCCTCATCTGACATCTCCAACCTCGGACGACATCACCCTGTTTTCTGGACGGCACCTGTCAGGATCTGACACTGTTTGCAACCAGGCTCTTCCCCAAGAGAAGGTCAGCTCCGGGAGGGCAGAGGGCTGTCTGGATTCTTCCCTGGCACACGCCTGACCCTCAGCACAGTGCCTTGGGCACGGCGGCTGGGACCGGACAGATACTTGCCTGGGGGACGCGTGTCTCCGTGTGTACAGCAAACACTTGGCAGAGAAGGCCGGAAACAAAGAGACAGATCAGTTTCAGACAGTGGTCAGTGCAACGAAGAGAGGTTAAAGCGGGAGAAGACTAAAGGGGATGGATGCCCTTCTACCCTGGTCGGGGAAGGCTCCTCCGAGGAGGTAGCATGCATCTGATAAGCCAGACCTGTAACCGGGGAGGGCAGAGGCGACAGACGCTGCCATCAACTCCGCGACCCTTCCCAGTGCCTCAGTTTCCCCACAAGAAGGACGAGGGGGTTAGACCCGAGATGACTCCGAGGCTCCTTCCAGCTCTGGCGTCCCTCCCAGGGGCCGGTAACGAAGCCCGCTAACCGGCCGGCTCGCGCCCCGGCACCTCGCTGCGGGGCTCACTCCGCCGGGGGACCCGGCCTCGGAGGCGCCATGGCCGCGGGGAGCGAGGGAGGCGGCACGGGGCCTACCTGAGTCGCGCCGCGGCGGGGGGGCAGGTGGCGGGGAGCGGGAGGAACTCGGGGGCCTGCGAGCCCACTCGGGCGAGGAGGAGGCGAAGGCGAGGTGGCGCGAACAGAAAACCCAAAGGCCGAAACACCCTCACGCTGGTGGAGGAAACTGCCCCAATTACCGCGGAGCCACTGCGCCTGCGCCCCGGGGCCGCTTCCTGTGCCGCCCGGAAGGCAGCGAAGAAAGAAAAAGCCTTCCCCCCTCTCGCGAGACGACGACGCATGCGCAGAAGCGTTATTGACGCCGAGAAGCAGTCCCCGTGCCAGCAATTTGCGGATTGGTCGTAAGTTGGTGTGGCCAGCCTGCAAGTTGCCAAGCAACTGTTTTAATGAATTCGCCGCTACCGCTCCCGCCCACGGAGGATAGTATTTTCTCTCGAGAATTAAATGTCCAGCAGAATTCTGATTGCCGCCAATTCAAGTCCAACGCCATCCTCGGAGAAGCTGATGGAATGCTGCCTCGGGCTGCGGTGAAGTCCGCCAGCCTGGGGCCCTGCCCTGGCCTCCTGTCTGCCCTCCGGGGCTCTTGGGGCCTCAGTTTCCTTTTGTAAAATTGGCGTAAAGATGCCTGACTTCAGGGAAGTTCTTAATTGGGATCGAGTGAAGTAACACACATGAAAGACTTTTGCGAAGCGTAAGATTCCATAAGAATGCTAAGGGGTTGTTAGGACACACACATGGACGCGTGCCAACTCCAAAGATTTCAGCTGGTGGCTGAATTTCTGAAGGAAGAGAGAGGGATCTCCTGACTCTGTGGGACATACATTGAACCTTCTCCTTTGCTATTCAGTGTGGTCTGCGAACCAGGAGCCTTAATATCTGCAGGGGACTTTCAGACCCACAAGACCTTTTTATAAAATGCAGGTCGAGAAGGTCCAGGGGGTGCTGAGCAAATTCCCAGCTGAGCTGGCCGCACCGAGTCTAGATGAGGTATTTGGAGTCATTTCGGGTACCTTTTGTAAAGCTGTGCTGCCTGGGCCTCCCTCTCAGAGATTTCTGATTTAGTTGATCTGTGGTGGCACAGGGGGTTAATAGTTTTTATAAGCTCCCCAAGTGATCCTAAGGAGCAGGCAAGATTGAGAACCTCTAGTCTAGATCGTGATAATAATAAGAGCTCTTTATCTCCTACAATTTCCAGAGCAGCCCTATAAAGTAAGTACTGTAATCCCATTTTATAGAAAGGAAAGCGAGGCTGAGCAAAGCAACCTCCTTGTCAGACATCATACAGCCGTTAAGCAGCAGAGCCAGTGAAGCCTGTCCGGTACCGAAGTACCCCAGCATAATCTTGGAATCATCTCTGACAAGTACTCCCTCCTCAAGGACACCTTTCCTCATTCTTTCCCAAATGGATCATCTCATACCATCGCTTCTTGAAGACTGCTTCTCATATTCTGCCTCATAAAACGGCAGGCATTTGCCTCGTCTTGCTTGCTAGACTTTAAACTGTGTCTTACTCCCGTGCGTATCCTTTGCAGCACCAAGCTCTCAGTGTCTTACACACAGCTGGCGTGAAATCAGCGTTTGTTGAATTATATTTCCCACACCTGAGGAATACTCCAGAAACCTCTATCATGATACAGAGTCTTGCACAATCCTGGTGCTTCATCATATTTTTAAAACGATCTTTCTGCTGTTTCGGGGGAACTAATTGACAAGCTGCTTTTGCATCGACCACCGGGGAAGAATAAAAGCATGTGCACGCAAATGTAGCAACAGCGAACATTCCTTGACTTTTCTAAAGTGTCATTCCAACAGTTTACGGGAATTATCTCACTTAGTCCTCACAATGAGACTACGGGGATATTATTCTTGTTATCTCCAATTCGCCGTTGACAAAACCAAGGCCAGCCACACAAGAAGCGAGTAGAAGGGGGAGCTGAGATGCAAGCCGCGTGCCCCCCAAATCTGACTCCACAGATGGCAGGTGGCAGCAAATCACCGCCACTAGCAGTGGCATCTTTTCCACTGGCAACAAGAAGGGGGATCATTGAGCCATAAAGTATAGGCAAAACATCATTAAAAATGAAACAATTAAGATTAAATTTCAGCTATGGCTATCATTCACATTGGTAAACACTTGTGCGGTTATTACACAAGACAGGCTTTATGAAGGACCACACAGTTTAGATTACATTTCTAGGTGAATACAAACTAAACAGGCTTATGATTTTATTTATTTTTATTTTTTTTCAACATTTATTTATTTTTGGGACAGAGAGAGACAGAGCATGAATGGGGGAGGGGCAGAGAGAGAGGGAGACACAGAATCCGAAACAGGCTCCAGGCTCTGAGCCATCAGCCCAGAGCCTGACGCGGGGTTCGAACTCCCGGACCGCGAGATCGTGACCTGGCTGAAGTCGGAAGCTTAACCGACTGTGCCACCCAGGCGCCCCCAGGCTTATGATTTTAGTATCAATTCCTTTTCATTTAAGGTGACCTTTAATTTTGAAATTTAATTATGAATTTTTTTTCATGTTTGTTTATGTTTGAGAGAGAGCGCGCACGCGCAGGCAGGAGAGGGCAGACAGAGAGAGAGGGAGACCCAGAATCCTAAGCGGGCTCCAGGCTCCGAACTGTCAGCACAAAGCCCGACGGGGGGCTCGAACTCAAGAACCGCAAGATCCTGACCTGAGTCGAAGTTGGACGCTTGACCGGCTGAGCCACCCAGGCTCCCCTGATTATAAAGTTCTAATGTGTTGTTTAAGGTTTTGTAAACAGCTCGGTTGCCAAGAAGCACAAAGTGCAGCTTCACAAGGAATCGGAAACATCCAGAGTTGATGACACAGAATGAATTTTTGTCAAGTAGTACTCAGCCTCACACAGGAATCTTCGTGGTTTCCTCAACTTCTTTTGTCGCGTCTCAGACTCTTCTGCTCCATTCCTTCAAACGCTGACTTGATATTTTAAAGAAACGTCCATCCAAAAGAGTGGAAGGATCTGAGAGAACAGTAGAGTTTCTGCCAGCAGAGGACGCCCTTGGCTCGTGTTTACAGGACTGTTCCCCCGGGGGAACAGATTTTACCGGTGCACAAAAGTCCAAACAGAAGTAATGTTTCTCGATACTTTACTGCAAAAACATTCTGTTGCAAATATCTCTTAGTGCACATGTACATGCGGCTTAGCTTTGAGAGCAACCGTTCTTTTTGGCGCCAATAAACAGGTGTCTACGTCCAACAGTTCAACTGAGATGCTCTCATTAAAGGAAGGAAGTCATAGATGGAAATCCCAGAATGATTTTGCTTATTCTGCAGAAACTGCAATATTCTCTCCTCCCATTTTCTTTTCCCAAATAACTGAAAATTATTTTAAGTAAATTTCCAATCATAAACTTGAAATGACTGTAATTGTCTAAACTGAATGTATCTGCAAGCCCCTTTCAAATTTATTTTCCAACTTTTTTAAAGTTTACTTATTTTGAGAGAGAGAGAGCACGCATGTGCATGTGCAGGGAAAGGGCAGAGGGAAAGGCAGAGAGAGAGAGAGAGAGAGAGAGAGAGAGAGAGAGAGAGAGAGAGAGAATCGCAAGCAGGCTCCGCACTGTTGGTGTGGAGCCCGACATGGGGCTCCACCTCACAAACCGCAAGATCACGACCTGAGCCGACATGAAGAGTTGTCCACTTAATCGACTGAGCCACCCAGGCGCCCCTATTTTCAAACTTTAATTAGACTACTGTAGATGTTTCATTCCTTTCCATTTGATAGTCTATCCGAACAAATCCAGACATCGTGCAGCTTGACCATGTATTTCTAGGTTAGTAATGTTCTCCTTTACACGCCATGTCAAAGTTCAGCGATATGAGATGTAAAGGAAGGAAGTAGGGTATAAATTCAAAGCAAAATTTGTGATTTATAAAAATGTCTTTACAATTTGCGATAGTCTCACAAGTCAATTAGGTAGCCTCACAGAATATTCTCAAAATGAAATACCTGGTTCTGAGGCGACCAGGGAAAATCACATAACTTTTGACATTACAGGCTTGGCATCAGGAGGACCTGACTTGGCCCCCAGCCAACAAGAACTGTGGACCCTCTCCGAGCAGTGTGCATACTCGTGCTCCACACGTGGAGCCCTTCACATGTACTGGTGTCATGATGAGAGCAGGAGCCTCGGAGCCAGACTCTGGCGTTAGGTCCCAGCTCCGCTGCTTAGTAGTTGTGTGACTTTGGGAAAAGCTATTAGCATCTCTGTACCTTTGTTCTCTTATCTGTAAAGTGGGGCTGATAAAAGTACCTAGCTCATAGAGTTTCTGTGAAGATGACGTTAATGTTCAAAAGCACCTAGAAAAATACCTGGTGCGTAAGTGCTATACAAGTACTTAATTTTCTTATTATATTACCTCATTTAATATGTACCAGAACCTCTTGAGTAGGGCCAGCTTCGTGGGTGTGCAGTCACGCGGGCCCCAAGGGCGCTTTAATTCCCTGCTGCTGATAACTTTTGAATGAGGACCCTACAATTACATTTTGCCCTGGGCCCCACATATTCGGTAGCTGGTCCTACTCTTGAGGTAAACAGTGTCACTGTCCCCTCTCTGCCATGTCCTGGCTATGTGTCCCGGGAGAAGCAACATTCCCCGTGTTCTCACCTGTAAACTACAGATGTAATTAACTACAGACCTGACGGGGCTCTTGGAAGCCTTAAGTAAGATCACGTGTAAGCAGTGATCAGCACATGTAAGTTCTCAGAAATGGCATCCACTACTATCATCGATAAAACATCATCACTTGATAAAATCACCAACATTTCTGTTCTCCTACAAATCTATATTCTTGCTTATAATTACAAGCAGTTCTTCAATACAGGGAAAAGCTTGCTGAAAGTAGAGAATAAAGTCATAAAACCCAACTCTGGAAAAATTAAGATAGGGTTAGGAGGGGAGAAGATCAAATCTTTACTGTCACAGAAAGACCTTATTAAAATTCGAGGCTTCTGCAAATCTTGAACATGTTCTATGTTTCATAAACACGGACTAGAGGAGAAGTCAGGGGACTTGATTTGGGGTGAGAACGGATAAAGCCCTGGAGAAATTTTCGAACAAATTATTACTAATAAGAGGCATACTCAGAAACGAAATT